GGATTCTTCTCCAAGTTTTTACTGTTTAATACTGTTATCCTTTTCACCGGCTTGGAAACCTACGAATTCTTTGTGCAATGGGGTGATTTAAACACGATTGCAAGCGTCACCAATTATTTACTCACTCATATCATGGGTAGGCTTAATATGATTACTCTTATCAATATTATTAATACAAATAGATTTATTTCTGTAAACAGGTGCCGTGGAGACAATTCTTCTCTATAACAATCGTAAAAAAATTGGCAGGATGATGTTATCCCTTCATAAAGCACCCTACGCTCCTGATATCAAACGTGGCGGTGAAATAGAAACAATCTGGATAAGAAAAATCGTCCAAATCACCGAAGGAATGTATATTGTATTCGGTGTGACGTTGTTGATGACTATTTTAATGAGCGTCGTGGAAGTGTTACATAGTCGCTTGACACAACCGGAAGAAGGATGGACGATGGGTTTTGCACCCATGACCGTCGGTGATTTCCAGAAACACTCACCATTCTTTGAAATCTCCGCTGTTTACCAAATCTTTGAAGTATCTGTTTATGCATATATTATTTTAACTACTTATTTATTGATGTCCACCATTATGGGTCACATAAGTGTGCAGATGAAAATCTTAGCGAATGGTATGAGAAGCATGAGAACACGCGCGGAGGAACTAGCAGGTGGTGAGAAGGATAATCTTGATGTGGTTAATAAAAAGATGGATATTTTAATGCGGCAATCAATTGAACATCATTTACAAGTGCTGGATTTGGCGGCGGAGATGGAAAGCTTATGCAGTATTATGATTCTATCAGTGTTTGCCTGTAGTGTGGTATTAATGTGCTTTTTATTGTTTTTCGCGTCACTTGTAGGTACTACAGGATATTTATCTCAACAGAATATGAAAAAAAAATTTATTTTTGTAGTATCCTTTTGGAAGTGTGGAGTTTTTCCACTTTTTCTTCTATTGGTGGTGCATTGCTTGTCAAGTAGGAGCGTATTGTTACTGGGGAAATGAAGTGAGTTTAGAAGCTGAACAAGTAGCTAATGCCGCAGCTGAAATTGACTGGCCTGGTGCTTCGAAACATATTACGAATGCGATTGTGATGATTATAAGAAGAGCGCAAAGGCCTTTGTATATCACAGCAGGGAAATTTGTTCCATTAAGCATGGAAACACTAATGATGGTCAGTCAATATCAATTTTTACTTTGTTTTTAGTGAAAAGTTTATATTTTGTAGATTGTGAAAGGATCATTCTCGTATTTTATGGTTCTACAACAAACTCAAGAGGAGAAGGGTGAACTTGCACCGCCTTAGAGTCAACCACGTAAAGAAAAACACAACCACTCATCATAGAATGCGTTTATTGCATTATTTTGTACTAAAATTGTGTGATGCTACTAAATACGATTTAAAATCACATAAATAGAAAATGAATGTCTAGCAAAGAGCTATGCCAGTCTCAGTCGTCGTGTCATCCTGTAAATTGTACAAATTCAAAACCGGATAAAACTGTTGATGATTCTCCGTAATATAATGAGTTGTCTCGGGCAATTGCGGCGGGGCAAGTATAGATCCCGGCGGATTTCGTTGCGGCATCCCCGTCGGCGGAATACTCTGCGGTTTCCTAACAGTAACACTCGTATTAATACCATGCCGCCTCTTCATGTGCTTATTATAATTCGGCCAGTTTGTAAAATGATGCTGACACTCCAGACACGAGTACGGCCGTTCCCCAGTATGTTGCCTTCGATGCGTGGTCAGTACCCCTTTGAAACGAAAGCTTTTCCCACAAAACTCGCATTTGAACGGCATTGCACCCGTGTGTATCCGATGGTGTTCCTTGAGCGTACCTCGCTCCCTGAACTGCCTTCCACACACGTCGCATTGATAGGGTTTCAATCCGGAATGAACACTGCCGTGCTTTTTGAGGCGTACGAGTGTTTTGAAAGTTTTCCCGCACGTGGAGCATGAATAAGGACGTGCTGCTGTGTGCGTGAGCAGGTGATTGTCAAGATTGCCTTTCTGGACGAAACTTTTGCCGCATTGATCGCATGTGTAGTCTCGTACGCCGGCGTGGATGCGTTGGTGTGCTAAGAGATTCGGTTTGGTGCCGAAACGTTTCGGACATTGGTCGCACTGATGGCGATTTTTCAATTCAACGGGCAGATGAGATCGAGAGTGGACTAATAAGGCGGATTGCATGCGGAAGCGTTTGCCGCAGGTGATGCATGCGTGCGGGCGGTCATCGCCGTGATCCGAGCGGTGTTTTTCCTGTTGCTTGGCGTTGGGAAACCATTTGTTGCATACATCACAGCAGAATTTCAAATATGGCCGATGGACACGTATGTGTGAGAGGAACATTGTGTATTTTGTGTAGACTTTTGGGCAGTCTGCACAAACAAATCTATGAGAAACAAATTGTTATTAACGGTTTTATGTTTTTGTTTTAGCTGTAACTTACCTAATACTATTCCCATGATGTTGTGCATAGTGTTCTCTAAGCTCATCATAATTCAATACACTTGCACCACACTCAAAACAAGCCCATGGGTAACCCTCCCAGCCTTGTATATTCCTCTGCATAATAATACTACCATCATCATTCAAGTCACAATCACTTGCCCCGGACAATGCCTCCAATGCATCTTCTTTTACTTTTGCATTATCACTCTCTTCAACTTGGCTATGCTTCCTTTCAATCTCTTTAAGATTAAGGCAGTCTTCATTGTCTACACCAACAAGAATGCTCCTGGATGGAACTATGAGATCTGTTTGTGAACAAGTAGAAACTGTGAGATTCTCTGAGGCAGTCAGTGCATCATGCAACTCTTGTTGGACCTTTTGTATCCTCTGATAGAACAACCACGTTGAATTCACCGTTTGTGAACAACAATCGCACACACAGCATGATAATCTATCGTCGGCATCGCCAATATGTAATTGAAACAGTGTTATTATCTTAGTGCTCAAGTCTTCGGATATTGGAAGCAACAATCCATCCTCAGTGCCGAGACTGCCACATAATCGACATCTGATTAACACCTCCATCAGTGTTTAAACAATTAGTTAAACATTTGATTTTGATAACTATTATTGCATTTACTCAATGTTTATTTATCGCGTTGTGTTGTTGGGATGATCACAGATTATATTCATGGATTATACGAGTTGGTACCGTATGCGTATATGGTTGCATACAGTACAGTGCCGTATGATCGTGACTACCGGCGATAGTGACAATACGCAAGCGCATGTTATGAGAAGTGTATTCGACTGCATTCACAGTTGAGTCTAGTTGGTCGTTCTTGTTATTAGTTGTTGCACTGCGTCTATGCGGGTCTGCCGCACGTCGTCATTTTAATTTAACAACAACCGCGTGCATTTACCGGCGATTAATGGGTGTTGTGTAGTGTTAAAGATTCATCTCCCAATTCATCTTCCCTAACGTCCGTCAGCAGGTATAAGTAAGTGTTACAAACAAATCGAAGTTTCATCTTTTAACACTAAATGTTGTTTCCCCTACAAAACTTAACACGCGGTGGAAATTCGGCTGTATCTCGGGAACTGTTTCAAATATTTAAATGATTTTGCCTCTTTTAGTTTACGAGACATTCACAAGTAAAATAAATCGTCACTAATTGAAAAATTGCAATTTTTAGCACTTTCAGTCGCGTTTTAGACCTTTGGGGTATTAAATTAAATTATTTTAAATTTCCATCTGATGCACAAAGAAAGTAGACGAAGAAATTCTTTGAAAAATCTTTGTTAAATAGCTACAGGTATTTCCATTTTATTGTAATTTATTGCTGATTTGAATTATTTTGCGCATTTTTCTAATTTATTTAATATTTTCATATTTACAAAACGTCGATGGCAACTTTAAGCAGTAATAGTTTTGTATTCAGTTCAATAACAATTTATTTGATCAGAGAATTTAATTCCTATAAATTCATCCTGGCGTCCTCCAGCAGAGAATTGTAAAGTTATTAATCAAAATCGGCCATTTATTCCATACGGGTGTTGCATTTGCATTTTGTGATTTATTCCGTGTACGTGTGAATTGTGCGCGCTTCACTCGAACACGGTTTAAGTGCAGGTAAATCGCACTGCTACAGGTGCAACCCTTTCTACCACACCCAAACAAATTACCTGTTGTGAGTAAATAGCTTTATGTGGCGTTGCATATTATGTTTCGTAAATAAATACTGGATGGCGCTATGGTGCTGTTATTTGCATTAAATTTTTGTTTGTTTGTGTCAGTGATGAGCACCTGTGTCCGTGTAAATTGTATTGCGAATATTTTTTCTTTCTATTTAATTTAATTCACTACAGGTGGATACAACTCAAATGTTTAGTTTTGTTCTTTGCAAAGAATTGTTGAGTACACCACAAAGTTCTGAGTGTCAATATTTGATTTTTCAAAACGTTTTAAATAGTTTTAGGATAGTGGCGACAATAATTCTTAAGAATATTATATAAATTAAATAATTATTTAATACTACAATTAAAGTAACATACTTGGTACGTTTACGTTTAATATTTCAAGTAAATCAAAATAAACATTTAATTTCTTTTCTTTGTCTGTTTCGGGCAGAATAAAATAACAACTCACACTATCTCTTAACATTCCAAGTGATCTTCGTATGCAATCATATCATGCAATATGCGATCTTAAAGTAATATAGAATACGTGCGTTGTTTGCATGTTTTTGTTTTCGGGTTTATCAACATCACCTCAACGCCGAACTTTTTGTGCGCAAGTCCGGCGCAGGAAACGGCGCAGGGAAACAAGTTAACGCGCAACGCACGCTCAGCATCATCATTCAGTGCGCGACATTGTCTGCAGTTACACCTGCGCTAATAAAATTGCCAATAATTTATTAAATCAGTAAAAAAGTGTTGCTACCAAGTGAAAAACATTCCTCGAGGCACTCACAAGTAAGTTTCTTGCATTATTTTCATTTGCGCCTTTTTATTAAATCTGTAATTCGTAAAATTTGCACGCTGCATTGTTTTATGCGTTAGGCGTTAGACGCGAGTTTGTAATATGGCCCCGATTCAAACGTCGTTTACACGTTCGCAAACACCAAGTTGCATCATCACATAAATCAAATCATGTACTTGCAATGCGTCTAATTGTAATAGTCGGATGTAATTTTATTGTGCAATCGAGGTGTACGCGGCGAAGTTAGCAGTTGTTTGTTTGCTTTTCACATGTTTCAATCGGTAACTGTGCGGCAGTAGAGTGCGAGTTGTGCAGCACTGCTAACACAAAGAGATGCCATGTTGTTGTTTTGATTTTAACACTCCAACACCATTCGACACTGCTGATAACACACTCTTACTTTTATTTTCTAGCGTTACATTTATCATTTGCCTACTTATTCTTTAGTATTTTGTTATATTTTAATTCTGTTTTATTTTCTGTTTATTGCGTGCGACGTTGTTGATGGTGCATTACGATCGGGCTTTCAATCCACTTCTTGAAAACGTTCCTGTTTTCCATCGTAGGCATGTATATTAAAAAAAAAAATAATTGTTCTTGCTATTATTTCTCTTTGTACTTAAAATTTTTTGCTGTTTCTAGATGACCTTTCAAGGTCACCCACCTGATGTCCAGGATTAGTCTTACTTTCCCAAGATTGGAAAAAGGTTTGAACATTGCTGTAACGTTTATCCAATGTCTCTAATAATTTTTAAATTTTCTGTTACTAATTGTTCTTTCTGCTTGTCTTTCAGGTACATATTCGATATATTGGGGCATTTTTGTAATTCGGGCGCGTTCGTTTTCGGTTTATGTACTTTTTGTGTCTACTAATATTTCACACCTTCATGTTTTAAGTAACTACCTCTTAATATCATTATTACTTTATTGTTTTTTAATCCTTTTAATATTCTTATTTTTCATAATTTAAAAAAAATCCTTGCCAATTTTGATTAATTTATCATTTATTTATTTTATTCTTTAAAAAATTTTTAGTTCCGAATATTTACCAAATCATCCTTACCCAGTATTTTTAATCTTTGTTTCGATTCACAGGTATAAGTGATAAACGATATTCGCGAGAGACCTGGAGAGGTGTACCGAAATACTCATCGAGTGCGGGTCGCGACGCGTTTTAATTTAAACATTTTATTGAATCGTGATCAATTAGCTACCGAAGGAGGGTCGTGCCTTGTCCCCTTTCACCTGTTAGGGAAAGTACGCAGTGTTTATAAAATGTATCCGAATATTCGACAAATCGAGTGCGGGACGCGATTAAAAATCCGAAAGTATCGCGTAATCCGTATTGCACTATTAAAATGCGGGTTAAAAATAATTCCCATTCCATGAGGGTTTGTACGGGGCCTCAACGCACTGCAAGCATCCTACGAGCGGTTTGGACTCAAGATTGTATTATAATATCAACGCCATAAATAGTGAGTACACCTGACACCAAACAGGCTGTTTTGTATCTTTATGCGCCAACATATGCACGTGCAATCGTCGGTATAGCGTCATATTTTACCCCATTACATTGAATTATTTTAATCTTATAGAGAATAGTCCGTAGAATAGTTTCTGCGATTTGTACCTAATTATCTCATTTAGTTTACGAGATATTCGCGATTGAATAAAATTGGCAAAAATTGCAAAATGTCACTTTTTAGCACTTTTAGTCGCGTTTTTCGACCTTTTACTGTAGGAAATATAATTATTTTATATTTTTATCTGATAGAGAATTTTCCAATCTTTCATAATCAACAATTCGTTGGTAGCTATCTCTTTTAGTTTAAGAGATATGAATTTTTGAAAATCGTCGAAAAAAAGTATCAAGCACCCCCCCTTGGCAATTCTTTCTTAAGACTTAAAATTTCATCTCTCAGATTTCCGTTTTAACTATCCTATCTGATAGAGATTTCTGTTGTTTCTAGATGACCTTTCAAGGTCACCCACCTGACGTCCCGGATTAGTCTTACTTTCCCAAGATTGGAAAAAGGTTTGAACATTGCTGTAAATCGCTGTAAGTTTACGTTTATCCAATGTCTCTGATAATTTTTAAATTTTCTGTTACTAATTGTTCTTTCTGCTTGTCTTTCAGGTACATATTCGATATATTGGGGCATTTTTGTAATTCGGGCGCGTTCGTTTTCGGTTTATGTACTTTTTGTGTCTACTTATATTTCACACCTTCATGTTGTAAGTAACTACCTCTTAATATCATTATTACTTTATTGTTTTTTAATCCTTTTAATATTCTTATTTTTTATAATTTAAAAAAATCCTTGCCAATTTTGATTAATTTATCATTTATTTATTTTATTCATTAAAAAATTTTTAGTTCCGAATATCTACCAAATCATCCCTACCCAGTATTTTTAATCTTTGTTTCGATTCACAGGTATAAGTGATAAACGATATTCGCGAGAGACCTGGAGAGGTGTAACGAAATACTCATCGAGTGCGGGTCGCGACGCGTTTTGATTTAACCATTTTATTGCATCGTGATCAATTAGCTATCGAAGGAGGGTCGTGCCTTGTCCCCTTTCACCTGTTAGGGAAAGTACGCAGTGTTTACAAAAAATGTATCCGAATATTCGACAAATCGAGTGCGGGACGCGATTAAAAATCCGAAAGTATCGCGTAATCCGTATTGCACTATTAAAGTGCGCGTTAAAAATAATTCCAATTCCATGAGGGTTTGTACGGGGCCTCAACGGACTGCAAGCATCCTACCAGCGGTTTGGACTCAAGATTGTATTTTAATATCAACGCCATAAGTAGTGAGTACACCTGACTGTCTTGTATTTTTATGCGCCAACATATGCACGTGTAATCGTCGGTATAGCGTCGTATTTTACCCCATTAAATTGAATTATTTTAATCTTATAGAGAATAGTCCGTAGAATAGTTTCTGCGATTTGTACCTATTTATCTCATTTAGTTTACGAGCTATTCGCGATTGAATAAAATGGGCAAAAATTGCAAAATGTCACTTTTTAGCACTTTTAGTCGCGTTTTTCGACCTTTCAATCAACAATTCGTTGGTAGCTATCTCTTTTAGTTTATGAGATATGAATTTTTGAAAATCGTCGAAAAAAAGTATCAAGCACCCCCCCTTGGCAATTTTTTCTTAAGGATTAAAATTTCATCTCTCAGATTTCCGTTTTAACTAGCCTATCTTATAGAGATTGGTCCGTAGATTAAGACGCTGCGATCGGATCTTAATTATCTCTTTTAGTTTACGAGATATTCGCGATTGAATAAAATAGGCAAAAATTGCAAAATGTCACTTTTTAGCACATTTAGTCGCGTTTTTCGACCTTTACTGTAGGAAATATACTATTTTATATTTTTGTCAGATAGAGAAATTTTTCCAGTCTTTCATAATCAAATACCAAGTTGGTAGCTACTTTTAGTTTATGATATGAATTTTGAAAATCGTCGAAAAGTACTGGGCACCCCTTTGGCAATTTTTTTCTATACTAAGTGTAAATTTTATCTCAGATTTCCCTCTTTTAACTAGTACCTATCTTTTATAGAAAAATCCGTTGATGGCACGCTGCGATCGATCTTAATTATCTCTTTTTAGCTTATTTAGATATTCGCGATTGAATAAAATAGGCAAAATTGCAAATGTCACTTTTAGCACTTTTAGTCGCGTTGACCTTACTGTGGTGGAAATATAATTATTTTATTTTTGTCTGATAGAGAATTTTCCAATCTTTCAGAATCAACAATTCCGTTGTAGCTATCTCTTTTAGTTTAAGAGATATGAATTTTGAAAATCGTCGACAAAAGTATCAAGCACCCCCTGGGCAATTTTTTTCTTATGATACTAAAATTTCTGTCTCCTCAGATTTCCGTTTTAATCCAGTCTATCTTATAGAAAAACTAAGTTGATTAAGACGCTGCGATCGGATCTTAATTATCTCTTTTAGTTTACGAGATATCTGCGATTGAATAAAAATAGGCAAAAATTGCAAAATGTCACTTTTAGCACTTTTAGTCAAAAGTTTCGACCTTTTTACCTAGTAAATATAAATTTATTTTATATTTCTGTCTGATAGAGAATTTTCCAATCTTTCAAATCAACAATTCGTTGGTAGCTATCTCTTTTAGTTTGGCAAGATATGAATTTTGAAAATCGTTGAGCAATACGTAACTGAACGAAGTACTGGAAGTATTGAATAAAATAGGCAAAAATTGCAAAATGTCATTTTGTACTTTTAGTCGCGTTTTCGACCTTTTACTGTAGGAAATATAATTATTTTATATTTTTATCTGATAGAATTTTCAGTCTTTCATAATCAACAATTCGTTGGTAGCTATCTCTTTTAGTTTAAGAGATATGAATTTTTGAAAATGGTCAAAGAAAAAGTATCAAACACCCCCTTGGCATTTTTCTTAGGGTAGAAATTATTTTTCTCTCAGATTTCCGTTTTAACTATCCTATTTGATAGAGAATAGTCCGTAGATTAAGACGCTGCGATCAGATCTTATTTATCTCTTTTAGTTTACGAGATATTCGCGATTGAATAAAAATAGACAAAATTGCAAAATGTCACTTTTAGCACTTTTAGTCGCGTTTTTCGACCTTTTACTCTAGAAGTATAGGTATTTTATGTTTTTATCTGATAGAAATTTACCAGTCTTTTTCATAATCAACAGATTCGTTGGTAGCTATCTCTTTTTAGTTTAGAGATGAATTTTTTGAAAATGGTCGAAAAAAGTATCAGAAAAAGCATCCCCTTGGCAATTTTTCTTAGGATTAAAATTTCATATCCTCAAGATTTCCGTTTTAACTATCCTATCACAGTAAGAGATTGGTCCGTAGATTAAGACGCTGCGATCAGATCTTATTTATCTCTTTTAGTTTACGAGATATTCGCGATTGGAATAAAATAGACAAAATTGCAAAATGTCACTTTTTAGCACTTTTAGTCGCGTTTTGATACTTTTACTCGGAAACAGCATATTTTTATCTGATAGAGAAATTTTCAGTCTTTCATAATCAACAATTCGTTTGGTAGCTATCTCTTTTAGTTTAAGAGATTATGAATTTTTGAAAATGGTCGAAAAAAAGTATCAAGAAAACTGCCAGCAATTTTGCAAGGATTAAAATTTCATATCTCAAATTCGTTTTAACTATCCTATCTGATGATAGAGATTGGTCCGTAGATTAAGACGCTGCGATCAGATCTTATTTATCTCTTTTTAGTTTACGGGGATATTCGCGATTGAATAAAATGGGCCAAAAATTGAAAAAATTGCACTTTTAGCACTTTTAGTCGCGTTTTCAACCTTTCGAGCTATATTTTATTGTTGCAGGAATTCGACTTGCAACCCGCGAAAATTTGCATAAAATGGTGATTTTTCACCCTTTTTCGTGAGAGGAAAATATTTGTATTTTTCGGGTTTGCACATGACTTTGGTACACAGAAACTTCAGCGTGGCATCTATTGATGCGGAATTAAATTCTCTGTCGGGCTTATGGTGATTGTTGCACAACTTCAACCTGCGACACTTGGAAAATTTGTGATTTTTCAGTCTTTTCGTGAAATATTTGTATTTTTTTCGAGGTTGTACGAGGCTTTTGCCGCTCACAGCCGTCCACGTTTGTGTGCCTTAACTATTGTGACTATGTGTAATTACAATGGGAATTTATTTTACACTTGATTGGTGTGTTGTCATCGTCAACATCATCATATGATTTAAAGACTTAACAGCCTGTGTTTGTTGTTTGATAGATTAAATTTGAACATCATGCGTCATCTGAATTTGGCTTACTGTGTTTTGTGTAAATTTGCTTTAGTCATTTTAGACAGAGTGATGCGTGCGCACTTTCGTGTACGTGTCTCACACGTACGCTGCTATTTAAGTGCATGACCATTCACTGCCTCATGAACCATTTTTATTTTATGCGCGCACACTGTTTGAAACACTTTGTTGTTTTTGTTAGGTACGTTCACTTCGAAATGATATTCCAGCGAGAGAATTTTTGTTTTTGTTCAATCGGTGCGATAACGAAAGAGTGCACATTCCACACTTTCGACTTGTGTTATTCTTTACTGTAAGTTCAGGTAAATCGTGTTATATCTCCTGATCGCCGGTGATAATTAGTGTTAATAAATATGTTTTGATCATTTATCAGCTATCGCGTGTGTAATCTTCGTAATTGTAAATTTTGCGTGTTTTATTTATTCACGTGTTCGTGAGTCCGTTGCCGTCGGGCGCTGAATACTAATAATTGAATTGACTTGTGAATAATATATTTGTCATAAACAGAGGCATGGATCAATGTGCTTCCACGGAAATATTGTCATTCCTATGATTACTATGCGAATAACACGACTTTTAATTCAAAGTTTGGGTGGAAATTCTGTAGCTAATGTTTTTGTTTCTCATTTATTTAGTATTCGCCAACTTGCCGTCGATATACTACATCTCTTCCATAACCGCAAGTAAAATCATTTCATTATTTATAAAAACTTTATCGTGTAATTTAAATTTCAGTTTGGTTCTACGTTTAATTGTATTGTGGTTTTAGACCTTTTACCCCATTAAATTGAATTAAATTAAATTTCCATCTGATAGAGAATTTTCCAATCTTCCATAATCTACAATTGGTTGGTAGCTGGTTGGTATCTCTTTTAGTTTAGTTTAGTTTAAATATTCACTGTCGAAAATCTTGGAAATAAATTATCCTCCTCTTACCCATGAATTAAAATTTCATCTCTTAAATTGCCAATTTAACTAGCTTATTTTATAGAGAATTGTCAGTAGATTTAGCTTTGATTTATTTCAATTGCGAATATCTCGTGAACTAAAAGAGAGAGAAAAAACGAATCGTGGAGTCTTAGTCTACGGACAATAGTCTATAAAATAATAAATTTTTTGTTGCAGTATTGTGAAGTATTCTTAGGTGGGCTAGAATACATGCGTATGAATGATTGTAAACAAGTTTTTTTTTGCTCTCAGTATGCGTATCTCAACAGCGTTAGTGACCTCGTGCAGTGGCTGTCGGCTGTGTGCAACTCAAGGCATACGTAGTTCCATTTCGGTTGTCGAGTGAATCGCGCGTTTTCATTGCGACTAGTTTTTGTTCTCTAAATCATAATTAGATAAATTGCGGAATGTTCAATTAACAGTTGACGGCATTTACTGAAATCGGATGTGAATGTGGTTTTGCTAGTAAGATAGCATCCGTTGAATGTTCATCAATCGCGGAGTCATCGGTGGTTCACCTATGCGCTTGTGATGTACCGTCGGCCGTCGATGATTGTTGTTCGTTTGTGGAATTACATTGCACTCGTATATTAACTTACGTAAATAACCTGCGTGTCCACACATACCTTAATAATAATTTGAATTTGGCGTTTAATTAGTATAAATAAAACAACGTTGAGGTTTGTTGAAGCTTGTTCTTCGCTTCTTCGTCGCAGAAATGTTAGAGAAGCGCGTAATATATGCGTATTACTTTCAGAGATTCAAGAACCTACCTGATGATTAACGATTTTTAAAAAATGTGGGATGTAATTTTAATGTTGTTAATAAAACATAATGTAATATTACATACTTCTTTCCCCATATTTCTTGGTTTCGCTTCGTTTGCAGGATTGATGTCTAAATCATATTCCATATAAATCTTAAGTGAATCAAGCGTGTACAACATATACTGGATGTGTTGTTGTTTTTAAAAAGTTGAGTAAAGTAGAAACATAAATAAAAGAATCAAATATAACCGGTAAAAACACTCGGTGGTCGAGTGGATACGTGCACCTGCTAGCATGCTAGTAGTCACGGATCGAACCTCAGGTATAGAAGGCATTTTTCTCTCAAATATAAAATAACAGGTGAAATTGCCATATGAATTGCAACGAATTATAAGAGAAACCTGAAATATGCAAGTGAAGGCAATAAGAGATGTAAGAAA